CTCCAACTGGAAAAGTACACGAGATTCGCACGCACGCTCTTCTATATTCCATTAATCAATTTCGCCCAGCTGAATATATAACATAAATATAACAAATCAACGATTCCGCTCATAGCCGAAACAAGAATCGTGAATGAACAATATCGAATAATTGGCAATTGCTTTAACGATCATTATTGCCGTGTCAATAACGAGTTTACCTTGGCTCAAATTGATTTCAATGTCGAGAACGGTATATAAATACGAGTTCACCCCCGCTTTCTTCGTTCAATGGACGCCCAATTTCCCGAATTTCTAGCTACTCGTGGAGAGTACGTAATTACAAACTCGACGCAATCGCCTGATTATTCGCATAGATTATATAATTCGGGCGGAAATCGCGCAAGAGATTAATAAATTACTCATTAATTGTTCATTTCAATCTGCACAGTCGCAATACGACCATTCGTAATTCCACGATCGTTTTAACGCGTTTTTCCCCTCGATTCGTTACTTGCTTGCAAAGAGAATTATTTTACTCGAATCGTCTCTCGAAATAATTGCAGAAAGAATGGCCAATCGTTCGAAGTATTGGCAAGTGTAAAATATTGTTGGGAATAAAAATTTTACTTATCGATTAATATATATAGTTTTTTCGAAAACTGTGCATGCAAGATCGAAGACAATAAATTCTAATCGTTATTCTCACGAAAGAACATGTTTGTATCGAGGATATGAATTGAGATACGAATGTGAAAGTATATACGAATTTCTTTTATTCTCAAGATTGATTCTTGGGTGTCTTTTCATTTTTTAATTTACGAAAGATTATAATAAGGAGATATGGCGGTTATTCCATTGGACTGCACACACGTCATCTTTTTTCCAACTATCTGGATTTATAAGAATTGATAAGAAATATAATCAAAAATTGAACATTAGATATTAATACGTTTCGTTTAATTTATAATACATTTCCATATATTTTTTTAATGCAATTGTAATGCAACATCCATTAACGATATTTTTATTTATTATAATACGGGGCATTATCTTTATATTTTTGGAAATATTCCCGGCTCGTTTCTCGTTTTTCAAGCATCATTCCTCCACCTCCATTCGTTCCATTTAACAAAAATATTGTTTCCCTGTTTGTCGTTCGTTTATATTCTCTTGCATTTACCTTTTTCCCCTTCTTTTTTTTTTTTGTTTGTTTTCGTTATCAAACCGTTTCCTTCTATTTTATTTTAAATGAAGCTTTAATGAAAACTATCTCTCTCTCAAGTCTCCTTTTAAAACGCTTTAATTTTTCAATGCTCCACCCCTGTCACGGGTGAAAATAACGCGATCGTTTTCAGTTACACGTTTGGCGCATCATCGTTGCACGTATTTCAGAAGATTTATAAAATTGAATTAAATTAAATTTTCACGTTTTAAAGAAATTTCGATTCTAAAGAGATTTTCCACGATTCAGGTATCTTGGAAGATTTATAAAATGATTGAAATTTAAGTTAAACAAATTTTAAAGAAATTTCGAAATTTCTTCTCGTCAAAATTGTACAATTTTCTACGTCAAGTGAGAAGAAAGAAAAAAAAAAGAAAAATTGCTCCAACTGAATTTGTAACGGTCCAACACGAGGGGGTAACACGAGGCCGCCTACCACTCGACAAACCTGCGAATAAATCAGAGTTGCCCTGACCGCCGCCACCCTTCACGTTCCGGTTTACGCCGGCTTTCACCCTAACAGGGCCGACTGCTCACACGACAGTTCACCACGATTCGTCAATGCTCAAAGCGCTGCCCGCCCGCCATTCGTCAACGTAATGCCAGCCAGCCCAATAAGCCAATAGGCTCGATGGATTTTATTCCAACGACTGCTACAATGCTTTGATTACATTTATGACGCGGCCATTGATATTTACGATCGAAAAGCAGGAATCAACCCACCCTCGTTCTCGTCTCGGCCAGTGTGCTGGCTGGTTAACTCCTCTTTCGGGGGAGAAAAGGGGAAATTGTATAGGAATTCTGTGGAATTTTTTTCGAAGGAGTGGGATACTACACCAATATTTTTCTGATATAGATATCATTACAAGGGAGGCGTAAAATTAAATGATTTTTGCCTTATCAATTAATCATGATTCATTGAAATTTTGACGATGCTCAAATTATCGATTCACGTAATAAAATTCCCAGTTGCGAAAGTTTACTCTTATCGACAGATGGTAAAGCGTAATATAAATTTTTCAACGAAGTTTCGAAACACGATGTGACTCGCTTATAGCACATAGAAAATTTCGATTCGAGTTGTGCGAAATTTTTTTTTATCCTTTTTGACGATTAATATTATTGATTAATTTCAATTTAACGATTCCACGCTCGCGCGCCAAAATCAATTCTCGACGTACCATTCCCCACGATTCGCCACGAAATTTATAAATGTTGAATACGTTTGGGCGTAGGGGGGCGGTCGATGAAAAGGGGCAGCCGGTAAGACGGTGGCCGTTCCACCGCGTATTTAGAGGTAGAGGAACGAGTACGAGTTGAAAGGGGGCTTGGTGTTGGCACCTCGACGAATGGGGTCATTTGTAGACACGGGTATTACAGGGTGGCCATTGAGCAACTAGACGAGGAGGGAGAGGTAGTTTGCACGATGTGATTTAAAGGTCTATCGAGCGATGATGCCTCAAGATTAGTTACCAGCCGGAACATAATTTCCCCTCCTCTCTCCTAATTCACCGAAATTCCGACCGTTGACGTATCACGAACACGTCCATCGTTTCCCCTCAAAAATCCTCTCGATGAACGATTATTCTTCTTTTTTGATGAAGGATTCGACGATATCGACTCGTCGTTCGATCATTTTCAGATACTCTGCCAAATTCAAATTAACGTGTAAAACTTTTATACTTCACGTGTCGTATAAAGAAGGAAAATTTGTCGAATATTATTAAAGTCTAAATATTATTAAAGTCAATTCCATTAAAACACATTCACTCTTCTTATTTTCATCGCTATTTCTCTCCATCAATTTCTTAACTAATTCGATAGTGTATTATTCCACGCTTTATAAGATTACACACTTTTGGCAAAGAGCCAAAGAATTATTCGCGAAGCGATATTTCTAAGGAAAATCGAACGAAGGGAAGGAATTCGAATCGTTTGAACGAGCGATAAATTGTTTTAATCTTCGTTACGAGATAATATAATTGATGACATCGATACGCGAAATATCCTTCCATCGAACTCGAAACTCGATTCTATTGGAACGGGTTTCCGGTGTGTCGATTATGTGTTGTTGCCGTGCCGGGGTATCAAGTTTCTCATTTTCTTGCTTACGTGGAAGAGGGAGGGGAGGGGTGAGGGGAGATTCTGTTGCTCTTCTCTCCGTCGTTAACAGCGGGAACAAAGGTGCGGCGAAACGAAAATTACATAGAAACAAAATTTCAAGCTTCCCCCTCCCCCCCCCCCGTGCTACAGGTGTCTTGTTACCTATTTTTCGATTACACTGCTTACTTGGATACCGTATCGGATCGCCTCTCATTACGAATCAATCTTCTTCCCCCAAAGATTTCCAAAGGCTTCCCCTTACAAAACTTCATCCATCAACGTATCCACATCAACGTAACGCCACCGTTTCGATATCGAATTTCACCGAGTTTCCAAGTGTATGTACAAAGTGATGCACGGATGAGTGTTGCTTCTTCCATGTTCGATTTTGAACAATTTTCAAATTCGAGTTTTTTGGATATTATGGATATATATATATATTGGAATTGTTTTTATGCAAATTATATCGTAACGATTATTGTATCGTTAATCGCGTTGTTTATAATATACGCGTTTAAACTTGTATTATTGAATTGAAATTCGTGTGTAAATATTGGCGTTCAAGTAGCGCCATCACCAAACTTATTGAACAAATACAGGATAATGGATTGAATTACCCCAAGTTGGCGAAACAACAAGCTCAAGAACTTACGGCCTCAAGCTTAGAGGCAAACATTATTGTTATGTAGATTGTACACCGATCTTCCATCGCGCGTTGAATTAATTTTCTATGATTAGTTTACGCGATAGTGATATTGTTTAGACGAGTGGTTCGAGCAAAGTTTCGATTGAAAATTTAATCGCGCTTAAGAATTGATTCGAAGAAGATATTGTTGGTCGGTTATGCATTATGTGGTGAACGATGAATAAGAATATATACCGATTTAGCTATATTTTGGTTATACGTGAGTCGCGCGTGTCGGGTTACAAAACAAACGAAAGGACGCCAACTACAGAAATGTAGTGACACTGCTAGCAACGTTTAATAATAAAATTATAGATAAAATTCCAGTGAACTCTTATATTCTTATATAACAGATATATTTTCTCCAACTTTTCGAGGAGAAAACGGCCTCTTTCTTTAAAAAGAAAAAAGAAATGCAATGTAAGAAAATTTCTTCTCGATTAGAAGAAAAGTCGGTTTGCTAGCTCATCATGAAGGGGGTTCTCCTTCAACCAACCAGCCCAGGAATCGATAGTTTCCAAAAGTTCGATACCACCGTTGTATTACCCTCCTCTTCCTCCTCCTCCTCCTCCTTCTCGTGTGTATTGTGGAGAGAGGTTGCACCCCACCTTCACGAAATAAAGTGGGTGCATATAGAAGGTGGCCGCCGTCGGTCTCATTGCACGTAGACAAACGCAGCTCGTCTGAAAGTTTATGGGGGAGGGGAGTATTCCAGCCTCGGATGGAGGGGAGAGAGCGTCCGTGGGTCGTTTCACAGTCTGCGCTCGTTTTCCAAACTTTCGAATTCCGGATGGAAGTTTAGATCTGGCCGGTATTGAATCGAGGAAAACTTGCAAAGGGAGGGGGTGGAGAAGGGGAGACATTTTCGTTGTAGTTTTTTTTTTTTTTTTTTTTTTAAGAAGATTAAAACAAAAGGAGGAATTTGTAAATTTTATTTGTCGATTCTTCTCGATGTGTAATTGTCGTTTCGATTTCTATTATAAATTGCGATTGTATTTCTTATTGCAGGATGTTGTTTCGTAACGTTCTACACGAGGAAAGCTGCCCTCGACGCCCAAAATGCTTTGCACAACGTGAAAACCTTCAACGGGGTAAGTTTTCTTAATAAAACGGATTAATTCGAGTTTTCTTTTTTTTTTTTTTTATATATATGATTAATTGTTAGGAAGAGGAATGAATTCTTCTGTATATAAGAATAATTGTAGTTAATAATTTCTGTTTATTATTTATTTATTTATTATTTTTGATGATAATAATATTATTGTTGTTATTATTATTACCCCTATTATTAGGTTACTAGAGGATTAAATTGTGGAATAAATCATGCATAATAATTTCAAATTTAACATGTATGACAATATATATACGCATTATTTCATAATTAGGTTAATTAACTGTCCCCGTGTAAATTATTGATGTCGATAGAGTATCAATATTTAATAGAATTAATAACGATAAGAATAAAAAATATCTGAAAATCACGTGTTAAAATATATATATATATATATATATATATATATATATATATATATATATATAGAGAGAGAGAGAGAGAGAGAGAGAGAGAGAG